CCAAAGGGGTCGGGTGCAGTTTGTAGCGGAGGGCGGTGACCTTGGCGGTCTGATCCTCGGCTACAGAAGGTTTCCCGCAACCCGACTCCTGATAAGCGGAAGAAAATGGATGGATGGATATCAAGTAAAAGTCCAGAAACAGACACTATAAATGCAGTTGACTTAAAAACTTTTAATTTTTATATTTGCATACTTCTCAGTCTGAGTTCTTCCTCTTTATTAGGATTAGTACGTTCCTAAAAAAACTGTCAAGTGAGGGTCAGGTCTTCTGCCCTCTAGTGGATGACCTTATAACTGCATTTGGCAAGTGGCCCATTTGATCATCTATTGTCTATAATTACGTTGTAAAACATATTAAATGTGCTACGGTTACAACATTATCTAATAAAAAGGTAAATATAAAAACTCCATTTTCTGAATTGTATTTCGTGTATCTGGCCTTACACAGTGAACAAACATAATTCATTGGCACAGAACTGTAATTTCTGAGATACCACCCACTCTTGGTGAGTCCACGTGGGTTGCTGGGTTTTTAAAGGAATTACATACCAAAGAATATTGTTTTCTGACTCTTTTACTGCAGAGCTGCAATCCGAAATGTGGTTAAATGCTGTTACAGTGAATTACTGTAAATGCAATAGCAGAAAGAGCTGGAGCACAAGCAAATCTGAAGAAAATCGGCTTAGAAAGCATATTTTCTGAAATGGTTGAACTTTTGAATTAATAAGATGCTAAAATGAATACAATAAAGGTTCACCAATAGGTTTAGTTTACAAGGAAGCTGAAAGGTTCTGCTGTTTTTTTTAGTGGTATGTGGCATGCAGCGCCCTCAGTTTTCAGTCAAGCACCTTCACCAGAAAAACTGGAACAAAGGCTATGATGGCAGATTCACCTTTCCTTCAAGCATAAGATTGAGCCATTGCATCACCAACATCTCTTAGGAACGGTCTTGGGTTTTTCCATTTGATCATTTTAAATGACTAATTTTACGTAGGCTTGTCCGAGTAGCACATTTTGTTCTCCTGTGACCCTAAACTCCTGTTGAATGGCAATAAATGAATCCGAAATAAAAGCATCATGTTTCATAATTCTTTGATTCTGTTTGTTTTCGTACTCGTCGTTCACCTCTTCTCACGCTAGCCTGATTCTGTCTTTCTCATCCACAAGCCTGACACACGCATTCACAGGTACACAGAGAGAACATCATAAGTAGCTGACGTCAGTAATGCTGTAAGAGCTCTGAGAGCCCCTCCACAGGCGTTTTTTTTTAACAAGCACACCCACACTCTGCCAAGTTCAACCTCGCCATTGTCCAAACACAGGCAAACTGTCACTCACTGTGCTCTGCTATGAGGACACAGTGGAGAAACAATCGCTTCAGCCCTCGAGACGAGTCCATTCTGCTACAGTTAAAGCTCTTGCCAAACTTCATCCCTTTTAGCAAGTCCCTATCTCACGAGCTGAAATCAAATGACACTGTTGGATTCTGGAATTGTCTTTCTTTCTTGTCAGTGCTACTCAATGCAGTTTTCAGTGGCCGCATTAGTATGTCTCTCTCCCTCTCATGAGTGAGAAAATTAGTTTTTCTACCTCCCACCATTTCATTATCTGAGCGATCTCCCAGCGCACAGTCTAATTCCTTCAGCGAGGCCCCGATTTCTGCAGACTCCTCACCACACGTTCAAAGGAGATGGAACCAGAATGGGAACAGGATCGAAGGGGAACGGGAGAAAAAAGGTGTGTAGAGAAAGACGAAAGTGAGAGCAAACCAGAGAAGTTTTACAGTAAATCACAAGGCTGTTAGAGTGTACACAAACATGTATGAATGAACTGCAGACCCTAAAAGACGAAAGCCGCCTACACACGAGCTTTATCTGCTTCCTTCAAGCTATCACACTTGGAAACACCTCTAAAGAGCCTAATTCACCAATGACAATGCAGTCTAATTGTGCACCGAGCTAAGTAAACACAGTTCCTCTTTGAAGATAACAGGGTTGAACCTGTGGGGTAAATAACACGTTCTACCTAGCATGAAGTCTTTTCAAAGCAAACCAATCTCCGGTGTTTGAGATGTACACTCGGCTCGTGCGCTTGAAATGAAGTAATTACGAGGCGGGAATTAATGCGGTTTACATCAAAAGTGACATTTTCACAAGACGTACAGCTGATTTAAAGGTGTTCCTTTGTGATTTTACACGTGAAACTAGACATAGTGGAAAATACACTGTAGAAAATAGCCAGTTGAACCAACGTTTTTTTTAAACAACACAATTTGATGCCTTTTTTTCTCAAAATGGAGGAATTATGTAAAAATGGAATTTTTCAGCTTTGCAAACATATTTAGCCAATTGTTTATTTTTCCCACCGTGGCAGAGTTTGATTAATTTTAATTTGGAAGGCCCAACTGGAGGTTCTTTTATATAAATCTTTTTATTTTAATTATCTACATTGAGACTGATTTAAAATTAAAACTGTGCTGATTCTTCTTCTGTGAGCAAGTAGTTTGCCTGTTCTAGACTTGCTGAATGAGTAAAACGCACGGATAGAAACATGCTTACATTGTTAGAGTTAGCTTCAAACAAATTGACGTATATGCCCAACTTAAAAAAAAATGATATAATGATATGGAAATAGGTTTTTGTAGCTTCATTCAAAGGAATATGTTTTGAAATGTTAAATTTTATGACATCCACAAGGATGAATGAATACAATCTGTCTGTTATGACAGACCATTACAGTCAATTAATTACAATTTAGCCTTTTTTTTGGGGGGTGTACAAAGACGTATCATTTAGTAGTGGAGTCTTAAAATGACTCAGAAAACCGTAAAACATAGTGATTTTTAAGCTAATCATTTTCTATAAAATCATATATAGAATATTTTAGACTCACTTTTCCAATGGGATATTATGACCACTCAGGAGAAATCATTAGATTAAATTTTTTTTCAAGAAAAAAAATTCTAAATGAAGTAGAAATTTAAAAAAATATAATTATTTAGGAATTGAAAGAGGAATTAAAAACTGCAACCATATCTTGCACAGGGGTGTTGTCCAATCTTTAGCACTTCCACTTTAATCTGCATCTAAAGCTGAACAAAACCAGCAAATAACGTCTAGAAATTTCATGTCATTTAAAGGGGACATCTCATGGAAAATCCACATTTTGAAGCTTTTTATCGTGTGTTCTTGTTGTTCTCTCATGAAAAATACCTCCAAACCAGTTTTGGCTGCATTGACATATTTTCCTGTCAGCTGCAAGTTTTCAGATTCTGAGGAAAGACCTGCAGACACGAGGATGAAAACTAATTGCGCCATCAGGTCTTTCTTCTCCCCATTAAGCTAGTCTCGGATCTGAAACCTGCCTTCCATGGAAGTAGGTCACTAATACCCACTAATTGCGGGCATTGAGTGGTTGATTTTATGCTGGAGTTGAGAATATGACCTTCATGTCACAGATGACTGAGTTAAACCTCCACAGGTACAAAAGTGGATGTTCTGACAAATTACTTTTGCATCAGGGACAAAACACTGTTGTAAAAAGCATCCTTTCTGTCCACAAAGATGCACGTAATTGCCAGCACAGGTGATTAAAACTCTTGTTTTAGCTTTGGTGGGTTAGTGGTTAGAGTAACTGACTGGTATGCTATTTGCACTGGTGCAGCTCTTGGTCTCAGCAAAAATCTATTTTCTTCTTTTTTTTAGCTACACTTGCCATTTCTATGTTTTCAACCCCTTATTGGTAAACTGTTAAAAATATAAGGACTGATCGTCTTTGTTCATTTTGCCTGTTTGTTTTGCCAGTGTGAGTCCACGTGAGCTGAGTAGATCACCTAAAACGCTGCCTGCAAATGACCAGATTCAAAGATGTTTGGAGACAAAATATTTTGCAGAAAATAATCAATAAAACTAAAATATAAAAAAATGAAATGTGCTTCAGTTGGCTGAGTGCATTTCTGCTGACCCTGAATTGAACCCGCGTCAGGACAAGGCAAATCAAAATGAAAGGCAGGCACATTAACCACTAGACTACCAAACCCAATACAATGACTGAGGTGCTTAAGATGTCGCTTTTGTACACGTGTGTTTCCAAGGATGCTTTCTTCTCATTCTTTGCCTCACGGTGGCCCATGATGTAATGAATGTGTGGAACTCGGGCGACTGGAGGTGGGGTTGACTGAAACAGATCATTTCATATCCGGGTACAAGGACAGGCGGACAAAAACAACCCCTATTTAAAATAAAATGACGTCTTGAAATGCCAACAGTGAGATTTATCATATACTGTGCCTCTCAGAGGTCTAAAATTGCGTGATCTGGAACGTTTAAGCTGCAGTATGAGCTTCGCTGAAGAGTTAAAATAATCTTTAAAAGCATTAGATGTTTTTAACTTATTTTGAGATACTTGAGTGTTTGACACTGTTATATTGAAGGACTAATGGAAGTTTTTTTTAGTTCAGTTGTGAATCCTGATATGAGAGAAAAGAGAGCACCTGAAATAGAGTCTGACGCTCTGCGTTATTTTTCATTTTACCCAGTAAAAGCTCATCTAAAACCAACAATGATTAAAAAAGGAGCATTTTGTGCTTCTTAAAAAAAATTCTGACCATAATTTCAAAACTGGGATTGAAACAAAACTAAAGTTTCCCTCTATGTTGAACAATAAACTCAATATGCAACAAGAATATTTAGGAGTCTACTTTTTTTAGAGTCAAACTGCTCTGACATAGTAAGGCACTCAGTGTATCATCGTACATTTTAGACGGTCAAACTGAATTGGCTTTTGAATGTTCCGGTAAAACATCGACACATCTGCCATCCACTTTCAATCACAATACTAATCCTTATGCTGTTCAGGTAAAGTACCATCAGTTAGCATGAGCACAAGTAGAACGTCTGACCATAGACACAAAAAAATGTGTGTTTAGTGTCTTATGAGCCACTTCTCGCTCCAGACTTAGTGATTGAAATGACACTCTATTGGAAACCATACATGAACCATTTTCTTTTCTTGTTTTTTTTTGTTTTGTTTTTTTTTTTGTGCCAGGCATCACCAGCCGCAGCTGGGGAGCCAGTAATGCTATGGTAGCCATTTATCAAACGACTCCACATCAGCGGGTACAGCCGCCATCAAACAAACAAACAAAACGGGAAGCCTGATGAAAACAAGCGGGCAGCCCAATGGGAACTGAAAATGAGGGCAGGCTAAACAAGGAGTTGGTCTGTGTGTGGGGGGAGGGGCAGAGGTGTCATGAAAAGAAAGGTTAAAAACTCAAGAGAATTGGAATATGATTTTGGACTTTTGGGATCAGAAGAGTCTGAATTGAGGGAGGCGACTGTGGCTGAACGAATACAGCGGTTGTCCCATGACCCGAAGGTCACGGGATTGTTTCCCAGTCCTAGCTGGCCATGTGCCAAAGCATCCCCGGGCAAGACGCTGAACCCCAAGTTGCCTCACTGGTGGCATACAAATTGCTCCTCACCAATGTAAGGATGGGTCAAATTTCCCCAAGGGAACCAAAAATGTATATAAAAAAACCCCCAAAACAACCTCTCATCCAGTCACTGATATAAGGAGAAGACTATCACAGCTTTGATCATACACATACAATTATATCCCTAAATATCCTATCGTACCTAGTAACAATTAAAAGTACTGAAAATATTGCACATAGCTCCCAGGATAATTGCAATCCATTTTGCATGAAGGATTTCCATCTCCATATTAACTTCATTATCCACCATTCAGCTCGGTGTAATGCTAGCGGCGGAAGAGCAGGGACTTCATTACTCCCTTTTGCAGCTGTACATCAGACAGAATCAGCTACACAAGGAGGTTAAGCTGCTTCCTGCCAAGCAATGGAAGTATAACGTTGCAGTAGTACTGTTTCCATCAATCCAATGCAAAATTTGGGATGCTTTGTCTTTTGATTATGCAGGGACTGGAAACATTTGAAGATCTTTTTTTTTCTTCGACTGAATACATTTTTGCTCTTAGTGCAAAGCAATACATTTAAGGTAAGGATAACTGGATTTAGCACGGAAGGAAGAGCCTGTATAAATTGAAAAGCCACAAAAATACATATTTAATTCTAACACTTATGGAAATAAAAGAATATCTGGAGTGGGAAAGACTTACTGAATTACTAAATAGGACTAAAACATACCTAAGAAACTAAAATCTCTCTAGAAATTTGGTCAAATATCAATGCACTTTCTAGTGATGTATATAAATTGTTCCAGTTAGAAAAAATACATTAGTAATACCATTCTTGAATTAAAGAAAAATATAATTTATATATATTAAAAAATTTATAAAGAATTTATATTAAAAACCCGATTTGTCAATAACTTTCAATTGTCTACGGATTTTTTCTAATTCCTCATGCCAAATTGGTACAGCAACCTCAAAAAAGTGAAATTATTTAAACAGGGAGGTTTATTCATTTGCAGATATATAATTCTGGATTCAGATCAGCCCCAATTAATCTGGGGGGTGTTTAAAAGTTAACTAGAACAGAAATGAACCAAAACGTGATATCAACTGAAATGGTTGTTTTTCTTCCCCACATAAAAGACCAAACATACATTTTTATCTTGCATTTAAAAGAAAGAAAGAAAAGAAAAAGCATCTCTTTCCTTTAAACATAAAATGTGTGCGAGCACAGACTTGTCTGTGCAGATTTTACTGTGATTGAGTCCTTGACTGTCCCCGTGGATGTGACGAGGTTTGCTATGACATTTCATGTGAAAACACTTCATCCATAATGCATTTTGTCCATAAAGCAGCCCAGTGACCCCACATAATATATCCCACTTTGGATTTAAGACCACGGGAACAAACAAAAGTGCAGATGCCAGAGGGTTACGCAGGAAGTGAAGGCATGACGAGGAACGGCAACTGATCGGTAATTATGGAAACGTAAGGTAGAAGGAAAGGCGTTGTTTGGGGGAGGGGGTGAAATTCGGTTGAGTGCTGATGAACATTTGAGCATTTCTACATGCCTGAAGGAATTCCATTAACCACTCTGATTAAAGTAATCATTGAAGTCATCGGTGCCTGTCAGATGCCATCCCTGCCCTCTCAATTACCCAGATCTCCTTGAACTCAATTGCTCACATGATCGTGGAAACTGGGTGGTAGAAGGAAAGCGAGGCAGCACAGAGGAAAAGGCATTTTCTGCTGGAACAAGAAGGGCCGGTGGTAGGGTGAGGCATCAATTGAGCATATGGTAGATGTCCACCCACGAGATTTAGCTCAGCATGCAGGGGTGCTGTTACACATTAGACTAATTATCTTTCAGACATGTGTTTGCAATGTGTTTTGGTACAAAAACAATAAGGAAATAAAAACTTGTCCTAAATGTCAAGTGGATAATTGTGCAATAAGCTGATTTTTAATACAACATTCATTAAACTGGTAACGCAAATGCCAAATACAAAACATTTCAAAGATGACAGTCATAAATGTGAAATTTTTGCTTCAAGAGTTGATGAAAAAAGCTTTTTTTGAGCTAGCTAAAAAGACGTTTGGGGCAACATATAGTAACCGTAGGGCAATCTTTACTGACAAATGATGATTGCAAGGCAATTAACTTAAAATCTGCTCGATAAGTTGCACCAATGTAGTGCAACAACATACAAAACTGGGAGCTGAAACCAGTTCTTTTTTGATTCCATCTATTGGTAAAGTCATAACATTGGGGTTGAAGAAAACCAGTGACATCTCGAGTGACATCCTGTTTTTAATTGTCATTTCAGTTTTATGTGGAATTTGACCAAATGCTGCTAATATTCAAGCTATTCTTGATGAAAGTCCAAAAATGGCCTGTATTTGATAAAGCACCTTCTAAAGTCCTGGAACCCCCCAAGAAGCTTTACAACACAATCAGTCATTCACACAATTTACCAAAATCCAAAAAGAAGCAAAAACTACACAAAAATGGACAAAAAAGTGTAGGGTGTAAAAACTGGGGCCTACCATGTAACTTTGCCCCCCTGCTCCAAACTGTTCAATATGGCCCTGTATACATGCATCAAGCTGCTTTTATTTACCATAAACATACGAATCTGCCATCAACAACATCTGAGAAGCCACAGAACACAAATACTTAGCAGAACTCTGCTAAATCAGTCCCAGAAAACAGTTTTAATTAGCCCTTTATTTTAGGAAAACACATTTCGAATATAATTGCCCGGCACGTTTTTGCTCCATGTACTGAAAATAGCAGCAGCGATGAGCCAACACTTCATGCAACTTGGACAGATTTCATGCACCGTCCCCACTCTGCTTCCGCATTGATTAACTCTCAAATGGTGCAAAAGCAGAGAGCGTAAGAGAACGCTGGCTGCCCATCACTGTCTGAGAGGAGCTCGGAGCTGAGAGCTGTAGCTTTGCTGCCGCTGCCGTCTGATAAGCTCTCTCTGCTGCATTCAGAGTGAGATTTCTTTGACGGCTCCATTTGCACCTGAATCACGCCTGATGTTGCATCAGATTTTTGCACGATAAGATTTAGCCCCCAAAAATGGAAAAAATGGGGGCAGCATGAGGCAAGACCGCCCGAAATGTTTCACCCTGCCTGCTTTCCAGAATACCAAAGTTGACCATTGCAGAATACTTCTGTTTCTTTTTTATTTTTTTTTTAATTTTTTTTTTTTTACATTTATCTGCTGGCTGCCTTAAAATATTTTAAATAGAATAGGAATAAACCACGAGTTTGCTATAAAAAGGACCAAAAGTCACTTACAGAGTTTAACATACTTATCTGGTTGTTTTTGTTCAAATGAGACCGAACACGATAAAGAAAAAACTTATTTTGAGGATTAATAAGATTGTTGTGCTCAAAGATTTTATTAAAGTTTGTGCCGGCAAATTAGGGCTACAAAAATGGGGGAAAAAAAGAGGAATTGTGAAAACTGAAGTCAAAATCCAGAAAAAAGCAATCAATGCCGTTTCCTGAATTCATATGAAATACTAGTTTTCGAAAAAAGTCTAAATACAATATCTGAAGAAAAATTTGAAGCACTATTTTCATAAAAATACGTCTAACTCATCTTTTATGGCTTGGGTTTAAAGAAAAGTCAGAAGACAGAAAACGTCTCAAAGAAATCCTTTACAATAAGAGTCCAAGGCATGAACTCACAACACAAAACATCTGATTTGCAAAAAAAACACAAAAAACTTTGTTAATCAATATTAATAAAACAAACTCATACTTTAGCCTAAACTACTGCAAAATCCGAATATAAATTCCATTTTTAATCTCAAAACCTTTGTTTTAGAAATACTACATCAGACATTTTTGTAGACGTTTCAACTTGTTTCTAAAACTTTTGGCATTTTTCCCTCCATATTCCACAACTTTCCAGATAATTTAGCGCTCTTTTTCCAAATAATTCTCATTTTCTTGATATTTTAGTTTTATTTTAAAAAATGGTAACATTACATTATTAAGCATTAATAAACAAAGATCCCTTCATTAATGTTCCCTTAAGTTTGGGACAAAGTGCTGGTGTGTGTCTGTGTGTATATGCCTCATTGTTTTTCATTAAAAAATTGCTTTGAGGGCACATTTTCCCGAACGATTAAAATGCGATTAAGATTAATTAATTACAAAGCCTCCAATTAATTAGAATAATTTTTTAAATCAAGTCCCACCTCTAATATAAATATATCTATATATATATATAGATATATATGTATATTAGCTTTAATTTCAACAATTTTGCACTTTAATGTAGAAACTGTATGTAATTCCATTTAAAAAATATTTTATCTCAATTTTATGACTGTTTTTCTGGAGATTATATTTCCACTTTTTTCTTTACTCATCTCATTTGCTGCTTAACGATTTGACTTAAATCGTGAAACTTCCTCCTTCTGTTCTTTGTTTTTGTGAGTGTCCCTACGAATCATTCAGAGCAAAAAACATTACATTTACAAAAACACCACAGCCATCTGCGCCACCTTTTCAACATTTCTCACCAAGCTGCTCAGGTGCTTGTTGCACCTCAATAAACAGTTTTTTCAATAAAGGTGTCTCCAAAAATAATAAAATTCTAACTCAGAACACCCCAAAGACCACTGATGCCGTGTCTGAACGCACTTCTTGGCTCTGATTCATGTCCCCTGCTACATGTATGACACATCCACAGTTACGATCGGTTCCAGAACGCCTCATCTCCCAAACGGTGCCTTCTGCTCTCTTTCTGGGCTTCTATGAAAAGATCCAGCAAGACCCAAAGCTTTTCTGTCCTTTTTTTTTTCTCCGCTCAATAAGCGAAAACAGGCAATAAAAATAACGTTATGTAACCACATTTGCACATAAATATCTTTAATTATAAATTCATAGTAATCCAAATAATTCCACTGGAATTAGACGGCAGTTTTCCTCTCCTACAAGATCCCGTCTGTCTCTGTTTGATTGAATTCCTAAATAGTGATGCTCGCTGCACAGCGAAAATGGTGGCGTGCTTCACCCCTTGCATTTTTATCGACCTGCTTTGCATACTGGGTTTAACTGGGTCAAGTGTGAAGCAACCAAAAGGGAGGGAAAAAAATCGAAACACGCGCTTTTGAGCTTTAAGTAAAACATTTGAACATGCTTTGTGAAGAGATGTCTGAAACGTGTGCACACATCAAGCAAAACCAATTAAAAACCCTTTAATCTACCCGTGCATCTTGACGTTTGTACCCACTGGCTTTGCTGGGAGTTGGAATCGGTTTCCCAGTGAAGTTGATATAAATGACCTCCTTGTTTCTTGCCAGGCAGTGGTGTGGATGCAGTTGTCATGGTATAATTGCAAGGGGATAATGCTCATTGATTGAACCCTATTGATTCCAATCCTCTCTGAGACCCAAGTTGCCCCTTTGAGTGAAGCACATACAGTATCCTCAGCAGATTTGACTAAATCCAAAACCGAGTTGGTTCTTGTTAGCCCACATTTAATTAGAAAATAAAAGCCGCCTTTGTCTAGATCACCAAGACGGTGTTTCTCACGTATTCTCCGCCATCCCCTCCTAGGGAACATACGTTTTCTGGGGGGCTTTTCCAGATTTCCAACCATATTCACAGTTAATCCAGGGAGATTTTCTCATGACTTGTTCCGATGCCTTCACTGTTGCTGCTTCTGTGTGTTTATTCACTGCCTTTTCTGCTGGGTTAAACAGGCATCCCCTCCTTTGCACCTGACGCGAAAACGTCGCAAAACGGCATCGTTCACGGCAATTAGTGGACAGGTGCCTTTCCACCTGCCATGAAGCATAATGCTCTGGACGTTTCCCAGAAGCATAATGCGCTGCTTATGATTCCACTGTGTTTATTATGCGCTACGCTTCCAGAACACGTCAAACTCCGCAGTTTGGAGCCAGACAGAAAGTCAAGCTCGAAAGCAGTGTAAAACGTTCAAATTCAAAGTCACGTTCAGATTTCCAGGAGGTTAACTAGTTAACCAGCTGTGTGGAATGCCTTCTCTTCCGTTTCACATTTGAAACGTTCCGTGTTTAAAAGGCCTCTATTTCATTACACCTCGCTCATGAGTCTGCAGGACAGGAGGGATGAGTGCTACTTCCACCTAGTTCAGCATCCCAGCATAAAAAAATGGTAAAAATTACAGATTCTTCTGCCTCCCCCCGACTAACCCCAGGGTATCTGCGGGTCCTTAAAAAGTCTTAAATCTGATTTTCCATATTTAAGGCCTTAAAAATCCTTAAAAATGACTAATAACCCTTAAATACAGTTTCCAAAGGTCTTACTTTACTAAAGACCCAATAAACAAGATTATTTTATTACTATAAAATTTTCGTGAATTTCTAGTTGGTGTTCAGCATTTTTTTTTTGAATAAGCGGAACCATACACATTCAGCTGGTTGTGAAAGGGGGCTATTTTAGATGAGCACATTAGCTGGTTAAGCTAGTGGGAGCTTGCGCCATGGGGAAGTGCAAGTTTAATGGTAACTGGATGGCTAATCCCTTGTTCGCGACGTGGTTAGCACCGGTTCCAGGCAATAGCTGGGAATTAAAGCTTAAATTTAATTTTTTAAAATTGCTTAAATTTGGTCAAAGTGGCCTTAAAGAATGTCTTGAAAAGTCTTAAATTTGGCTCCGTTAAACCTGCAGATACCCTGAACCCTAACCCCAACGAATGAGAATTATTGATTTAACCCAACGATATCCCTCGTATCACCACCAACAGCTTAAGTTCCCTCATCAGCGCGTCTTATGAATCTGACATCATGTTTATTTGATGACAATAACATAGTTTGGTCAATATAGTGCAATAGGTGCAAAGCAATCCAAACTAAGAAGGAATCTGCCAATGCTTGTATAAAAATAGGTGTTACATTGAATAAAATATTAGTATCACACAACATGATGAATACTTCAAATATCATTTATCAATTTAGTGTTTGATAACATATCAACTCTACATATTAAGAATGAATACTCATATTCATTTTTAATATAATAATCTCTTTTATGAGAGCTCATTGAAGGCGAACTCGCCTCCCAATTCCAAAAAGTGCAGAAAGCATACAAAGACACTTCTTTTTTTTCCTTTTTTTTTTAAATCTTCAAATGACGCAGTCTGTTTTGAACACTTGGGGGGGGGGTGCCACTTTCAAAATAAGCCACTTTTACAATGCAGAGCTACAGTAAAATGAAACTACGAACATAAGCCTTTCCCGAGGATGATGGGAGTATGATGACACATGTAATATTGATGTAGAATCAAAGTTTTGAAAAGACATGGCAGATTATATCAATAAATACTTACTTACAGACTACAGCAGAAAATAGTCCTACACAGTTCTGATGATCTGCTGTACAGTGTTTTTGTCCGATAGGGGTTTATTTCTTTCTTTTTTTATATATAAACAATTTCATTTTCTGACTCACAATATACCTTTTTATGCATGGTTATATTCCTGAAAATGATCTTGGGTAGGATTTACCAGTACACATATATTTTTTGTGTTATTCGACCTTCACCATAGAAAAATAAAATTTGCATCATCAGTTAAGTGGAGCAAGTTTTGTTCATCCATGTTTCAAGAAAGCTCATATCCATTCTCGTATTGTCGTGATTCGGAAACAAGATTGTTCGGCACACCCCGTTCTCAACTCCCTCTGCCCGCTTGGTGTTTTTGTGCCAAGGCACCCTAAAAACTGAGCCACTCTTCCACGAAGAACAGAGAGGGACATGTTCTGTTGCATTAACAGAGCCTTGCTCAGAACTGGCTAAAGGTGGTCTGTTTCTCCAGAACTTCGAGGTAATCGGGCTCAGATTGCAGTTTAGCTTTTAGCTCCAAATACTCGTTTCTGTTGGGCTCGACATAAACAGTACTAGGCGCTGTGCCGTAGAGCACCGTCTCTCTTATCCTCTCCGGGTGCAAGAACTGCCGTCTGACATCAAAGTTTGGATTGTATGTATACGACACCGGCCCTGTGTACTTGTACTCTAAATTGGCTCCCGCTGGGATGGATGGGATTGACTGATGGGACGATTGCTTATCAGGCTCCAGGATTCCTCTGAAGAAGTGATCTGCATCCTGCACAGGGGAAGGGTTATCACGTGGTTCGATGGTGCTAACGCTGTACGAAGGGCTCCTCATCGTACTGTCCCTCTCTTCATCCGGGGTATTCCTGTATGTTACCTTGAGCTCATGCAGGTCACGGTAATCCTCCACTGCGTTCCCTTCCCTTGACCTATAAATGGGATTTTTGCACATGTGGCCCATTGGATGGGGGATGTACTCATAAACGTGGCCCGCTGGGGCTTTGACTTTAGGGCCCGAGCGGTTGCTGTAGAGGCTATATTGCAAGTTAAACGAGCTGACATCTGAATTGTTGGTGCTGGTGCGGTCACTCTGTGACTTTTTGCGCCTTTTCATCACCACCACAAAGAGCCCTGCCGCCACAAACACGGACATGATGAAAACAAGCAGGAGGCTGAGGATGAGGACGGAGAGGGGGACAGTGCTGCTGAGGGGGTTGAACTTCTGGGGAGCATGTGTGGTGACAGCGTGACCATCCATGGGCTCCTCTGTTGGGAGTGTGGGTGAGACGTAAGTATCAGAATAGTCTGGGCACAGCTGCTCTGACTGAATTGAACGCAGATCCATGCTCGCGTGTCGTTTAGGCGTCTCACACACAACCTCGTTAACCACAGTGCCTGCACTGAGCTGCTCGAGCCAAATCTTCATGCCCACCGCATCGCAGGAACAGTCCCAGGGGTTTTCAAACAGATCTATCTGCACTAGCGCCTTCAGCTGATCCAAAACCCCGCTCACTGGCAGGTTTTGGAACTGGTTGTTACGCAGATTAAGCCTCGACAGGGAGAGGCTGGAGAAGATGCCCACAGGTAAAATTTTAAGGAGATTGTTGTTGAGGAAAAGCAGCTGGAGATTAGGGAGGTAGCGGAAAGCGCCCGCATCCACCTCCTTGATTTTGTTGTACTCTAAATAGAGGTACTGCAAGTTTTGCAAGCCAAAAAACATCTCCCCTGTAAGCCTGTCCATGAGATTACCATTTAAATACAGCCGACGCAGGTTGGTTAAATCCCCAAAAGCTCTGTCATGGATCAGAGTTATCCTGTTGTTTCCCAGGTGAAGCAAATCCAATCCGGTAGCATCGACAAAATCTGATCTCCGAACCACAGGAATGTAATTTCCAGTGAGATACATTTTTTTAGGGTTGTATGGCTTGGGTTTTAGATCAGAAATGCTTTCGATCTTTCTCTCTTGGCAGTTGACGTTTAACCCAATTTCAGAAATCTGCAGATTGCATGTGCAGGCAGTGGGACAGTCCAAAGGCACAGGAGATTTGGTCTGAAAAGCAATGATGGGGCCATAGTTGTATGGGTTGCCACCCGGTAACCGAGAGGTGGGCTTTAACCTAGTTCTGTTAAATTGCCGTGTGCCCTTTGTAGGCCTAGAGGAGGACCTAAAAACAGCCGAAGAGGTGGCAGAAGCTGTCACGGCAGCAGGTGTGGTCTGGTAATATCCATTGGTGCTGCTAGGGGGTGCAGGCCTGACCGTCTCCTCCGTGGGTCTTCGCGGGCAGAGTTCCTGCTTGGACACCTCGTCCAGGTCCCTGCCGTGGAGCCTGAAGGGCGTCTCACACACCACCTCTCCCACCAGAGCCGTGTAGGCTATACTCTCCAGCCAGGCCTTCAGAGCAATCAGCTCACAGGAGCAGTTCCAGGGATTCTCCTCTAGTTGTAATTCCACAACTTTGTCCATGTGTTCCAGAAGGCCAATGTAGGGGAACATTTTTAACCGGTTCCCCCTGAGGTCCAAGTGCGTCAGGGGAACATTCCGAAATATATTGGAGGGGAGGGCAGAGAGTAGGTTGTCATTCAAAATCATCACCGTCAGTTGGTGCAGTTTGTTCAGGGCACTGGGTTCTATGATGGTAATGTAGTTATAATCAATCTGAAGGTATTCCAAACTCTCCAGTCCTGCAAAGGTGTCGTCCCTCAGAACGTCAATCTTGTTGTTATTCAGGTGCAACCTTTTTAATCCCTGGAGTCCATTGAAGGCGCCCGACTCTATTTCAGAGATATCATTGTTCCCCAGGTGCAGGATGGTCACCCCGGTGTAATTGATGAAATCATTGACTGACAGCTTTTTCAGGAGGTTCCCTGTCAGCAGGAGGTGGTACATGGGGAAATGAACCGGGCTGATGTCTGTCAGTCTGATAATCCCCCTGTTCTCGCAGCTCGCCATCAGGACCCCTTCCTTCTCCTCGCACGTGCACAGGTGTCGGCAGATCTCCCCATAATTATCATACATCTCAACCGTCCTCGGGGATGATGCAATCAGAAGGATTATTTTTAGGATCCAGATATGCATTTTTCCTGGGAGAGGATGCCCCAGCTCACTTGAGTGCGGCGCCAGTGTGAGGTGTCATCTAAAGAAGGGGGAAAGAGAAAAAGAAAAAGGACGGGTTGTGTGTTTATACGACACAGAAAATGTATGTGACAACACTTCTGAAATGCAGAGCCCCACGAGTATTCACGAGACACAAAAACGGGGGAAGTAAATCTGTTTGGAATGCATTCACCCAAGATTTCAAAAACTCCCCCTCAGTGGACCGCCACTGTGCATTTTTGATTGCTCAACTAAAGTCTAATTCATCTTACATCAACATCCTGACCTATGTGTAGAAAACAAACCTCTATTTCTTTTAGATTTTCAACCGTATCTAAAAAAAATCACCTCATATGAACTCTACGATACAGAATCCCGTTACCCAGCGAAACTGTGGAGAAACAATGGGATCTTCCCTCGAACACCTCCTCATCCAGCCGAATCACAAACAAGAGGACTCAGGATTGCACCATGTAGGATTAAATAGGTGCGAATGTAAAACCAAACTGCTAGAACAAATCAAATTAACAAGGCAGCTACTGATCATTTTAAATAAAATAAATCTGGCCTCATTTATTGAGCGGCTCTAATCCTGCGCAATGAGAGCAGCATTTTCTCTCTAAAGGTGGGAAAAAAGTAAAAAAAATAAACCAAACTATGTGATTAATCTGAAGAAGCTTCCATATTCTAATCTCCCTGCTACAGACTTGCACTCATCTGGTGTAACAGAACACAACAACGCCAGGAAATCTTGAACGTTCCCATTTTAACTGAACAACAACATGAAATCTTGCTAATAACTTAGAGGCGGGGGTCCAATCTCATGTCCAGGAGACCATAAATGGGATGATGAGGGCGTAAAAGCAAAAAGAGATGCCGGCTCTGTGCTGGTTAACACAACAGAAGCCGCAGACACCTTTTTTTCCCCTCCTCTAAACTGTATTAAATCTGATCAACTTCGCTGTTGGAAGATTTTCAGCACCACGGACAGCTCCCCTCCTTAGAAAACGTGTCAGATCGAATCAGAACTGCAAATAAATGGGATTAACGGGTAAATGATTAGGTAAAATGTTGCTTTCTTACCGCGGTGATCCCGATAAACGCCGAGGCATCCCGAAAATCACGGCTATGCCCCTGCTTCTTCCTCCAACGTCGCTGGAAAACATGGATTTTCTCCCCCTTTTTTCTCCGGTTTCACCCACCCTTGTCCACTGGTATGTTTTAAAAAAAGAGGGGGAGGAAGGGAAGGGGGGAAACGACAAGTCAAGTCTCCTCGACGTTTAGCTCCATAAACCAGGCACGGAAGAGCGCGCATACGGTCTCACTCACGCCAGCAACGTGACGGCCAGCGCGGCTCTTGTGCTGCTGCTCCAGCAGGAATCGGCATCTCGGAAAAAGAGCCAGAACCAAAGTTCGGACATGGTGGAGCTCGGGAGGCGGAAAAGGGCGCAGTAATCCCACATCAGCGCAGACGCGCCGCATGCGTTCTAACGGTGACTTTCATCCGTGCGCATTGGTGAACGCAGAAGGACACGACTCCTCGGACCGGTTCTGCGAGCGCCTCTGCTTCAATTGCAAATGCTCCAAAAACTGACCGGAGATCGGCGCATATGCTCGTCCAGCGTCCTCCTTACACGCAGTAATCCGGGTCATGCGATATCCTGCGCGTTGCTTGATCTTCCCACCAATGTTTCAACTAGTGGAACTTGATCTTGGTTGGCGCAAAGCGGCGCATAACCCCGCAGCGGTGATATGAAACAGAATGACAGTCCGGGGGGAGGAGGGGGGAACAAAAACGGGAAAAAAGAGAAAAACAAAAAAAAAAGACTCGAGAAAATGCGTAAATCCTTTCCCCCCACCCTTACCCGAATCTCTTGGACTGTCACGGCCGCGGAAATGAAAAGCAATTTAATGCGCGCAATAGTCTTAAAGGGGGTATGGTGATGTGGAGGAGGCTGGGTGGGAAACAGAGGGATGGAGAAGGAGGAAGAGGAGGAGGGATGCTGATGTCGGAGGCAGGAGGATGGAGGAAGACCCGCAGAGGGCAGCACGATGATGAAAAAAGCCGTTTGGCAGGCAGCTGTGTTCCCAAGCTCCACTCTGTGAGTCGGACTGCTCCAGCAGCAACATGCCATCAGTGTGACTTCAAAACTGGACACATCCAGTCTCCTTTAATCAGTCAAAATGGAATATTTAAAAATAAAAGCTCAAATTAATTCTAATTTGATCAGTTTTAAAGATATTTCAAGTTACACGTTTTTACCGAGAAAACTTTATGTCAGGGGCAAACCTACGGAGGCAGGGGTGGGGGGGCTACTGCCCCTCCTCCCATTAGCCATGGACCCCTGGTTGCCCCCCTCATGCTGAAATCAATCTTGTGGTTTATATACTTTAAACAAAATGTTCTAATTTCTTTATTTATTTTGTCTTTCTCATTTTGTTTGTTAACTCCATTCACAAATAGGGGATTTCCATATGCCTGAATGAGGTGGTCCAGCCTGCCCCTCCATAATAATAATAATAATAATAATAATAATAATAATAATACTGAACAAAAATTGATCATCTCCATAAATTGCAAATATTGTTTATTTATTTTCTAAGAGATATTTGTCTTGTTTACATTATTCTATGGTTATTGAAAGCACAATAACCTGTTTCACTTCCTGTGTAGTTTGGGTAACCTTCTGCTGCAACACTATGTTTCTGTTGGAATACCTGTGCCCTAATATGTAACTATGTATAACAAAAAAGCAGACAATATTCATTAATCCTACTCTTGTCCATGTTTGGTCTCACTAGGTGGGACAGGAAGTGGTATGGCTAGTGGTTGCTCCTTTTATTTGGGCTTGTTAGCAACAGTAGAGATAGTTTGCGTTGAAGCTCTGTGTAACCATAGCAACCATATCAATGCAAACACACCAGTCATAGATAATAGACATGAACCTTAAAATGTCTGCAGAGTACATACCTAGCATTTCAGTGGACACAAGACGTTAGAACTTTGTGGCCTTGGTGCTTCATTGTTGGCAAAGATAAATGGAGTCTAAGAAAAAGTGTCTGTTTAAACGTATTTGGAGGTACTTTAATATTATTTAACAAAACGATACACAATAGTCGGCTGCATCAGGAAGATTTCAATAAAATTTGTATCAGTTTATCACAGAATTAAGGTTAAAAACACGCGGAATGGTTTATAAGACATACAAAATGTGTTACTATAGTCAAACCTTGTCATGTAAGCTTGGAATTTGCTTGTTTTTTGGTTTCTTTTTACAAAAGTCAAAATCTTTTTTTTTACTGTCCTTTTAGAAGTAAAAGTTAGCCCTAGAGATGTTGAAAAGAATGAAAGTAACCCACTTTTTAACAAGAGGCAAAAGTGGAGTTGCAGGGTGACCGTACTCTGAAGGCTGCAAATGGCCCAGAAGCACCTGGATCAGCATGGACAAGTCTGCTGCAGCAGACAGCAGGATTTGGATTCTTATTTCCTGATATTTGGACATCTTGCCTCTGATTGGATAACAGCAACACAACTCTATCACTGACTCAGTTTGCTCTGTGACATGGACGTTTTATCTCCATAAATATCACAAGCCTGGAGGAGCTTCTGCCACGTGGTGTAGTTGCTAATGCTAACAGTTAGCTTTTGCTAGGTTTAGTTTAGTCTGACTATATAAGAATTAATTTTCAGAGAAAGAAGGGGAATCCATCTTGTTCACAAGTTATTCTCTGACAAACCTAGAAACGTTTCTGACAACCTTTAGCTGAACTGTCATCAATATTCCCTAAAAGTGAGCCTGTGCTCCAGACTGTCCAACCAGACATCAGGAAAGGGAATGAAGTGTGCATGTGCCACATGATCATGTTACATCCACTGACTAACCTTAAACGTTTCTAGGTCGGGCTGATGTCACGCTGCGGGTGTGGATGATGGTGGACCATGTGTGGTGGAGCAGATCAGGAGGCAGGAATGCAGGCACGGATGAAATAAAAGTAGTTTTAATGGCAGAGCGGGAACGACAGAACAAAAACAACACTGACAACAAACAACAATGATCCGACAAAGACTCAAACAAGACGGGAGGTATAAATACTCAAGGAAACAATCAGGAACACATGGGAAGATTAACACGGGGCAGGTGAGAACAATGACGACTAATCAGGCAGGGGAGAGACACAGTCAGGGAGGCAGGGGAGGGACACAGTCAGGGAGGCAGGAGCAGATTGTGACAGTATCCCTCCCCTTAAGGGGCGGATACCAGACGCCCACAAAGCCACATAACACTGGAGACTCAGGACATTTCAGACTGGAGACGGAAAACACTCGAACTAGGACTCGGGAACTTGGAACAGGAACTTGGGATCACTCGGGAACTTGGAACAGGAACACTCGGACTTGGAACAGGAACACTCGGACTTGGGACTGGAACACTCGGACTTGGAACAGGAACTGGAACACTCGAACTTGGAACAGGAACTGGAACACTCGGACTTGGAACAGGAACTGGAACACTCAGACTTGGAACAGGAACTCAGGAACACTCGGACTTGGAATAGGAACTCGGGAACACTCGAACTTGGAACAGGAACACTCAGACTTGGGAACTGGAACACTCGGACTTGGGAACTGGAACACTTGGACTTGGGAACTGGAAAACTGGGAACTGGAACACTCAGAACTGGAACACTCGGGAACTTGGACTCTGGAACTCGACAGCAGGACACTGGACCTCGGCAGCAGTAGGCGCGGGACACTGGAACTCGACAGGACACTGGGGAACAGGAACACTCGGAAACTGAAACACTTGGACTCGAACTGGAACACTTGGACTCGAACTCGGGAACAGGAACTGCAGCAGCCGGCGTGGGACCATGTAGGGACTGCAGCAGCAGGCGTGGAACCCTGTAGAGACTGCAGCAGCAGGCGTGGGACCCTGTAGAGACAGCAGCAGCAGGCGTGGGATCCTGAAGAGGCAGCAGGCGTGGGATCCTGAAGAGGCTGCAGCAGCAGGCGTGGGATCCTAAAGAGACTGCAGCGGCGGAACTCTGAAGAGGCTGCAGCATGGAGGACCTGCAGGATAAGGCCCCGTAGGCGTGGACCAGGAAGAGGATGAACTGCTAGAGCGACGCGAGGAAACCCATCTTGGCAGCAGGTACTCGACAAACAGTCTGAGCAGGTGCACATCATGATTCGCTGGGTCACAGGCAGAGGCTTGGGTGCAGGGAAGCAGAAGAAGAGCGGGGAGACCGGCCCTACCACCCCGGAGAATGTTGGCATGCGTAGGGGGTGTAACTCCATCCAAGCTCCAGAATCTGCGGCTTCCGTTGGGAACAAACAGGATGGGCCGAAAGCAGGAGAGGAGAATGAGTTCGACCACCCCGGGAACAAATAGGATGCGCCGAAACCCCCTCAATGGGTCCGACCACCCCGGAAACAGGTAGGATGCGCTGAAACCCGTCGAGTCGGAATCTCCCTCCATTAAATGGCGAAAAAGCATAAAAAGTAATCCTCCAGGCAGATGTTTAGAGCTCACCACAGGTCCAGGTTGGTCGGATCATTCTTTCACGTTGCAGGTGTGGATGACGGCGGACCATGTGTGGTGGAGCAGATCAGGAGGCAGGAATGCAGGCACAGATGAAATAAAAGTAGTTTTAATGGCAGAGCGGGAACAACAGAACAAAAACAATGCTGACAACAAACAACAATGATCCGACAAAGACTCAAACAAGACGGGAGGTATAAATACTCAAGGAAACAATCAGGAACACATGGGAAGATTAACACGGGGCAGGTGAGAACAGTAACGACTAATCAGGCAGGGGAGAGACACAGTCAGGGAGGCAGGAGCAGATTGTGACAGCTGACCGTCGCTGGGGTTCTGCCTGCATCCGCAAAGAACAAAGTCAGCGGGAGTTTGTTTCAGAATCACCGGCCCATTAACACATTCAGGTCTGTGGCTCACTGCGGACCAAGACTGGTATCATAATATCAGGAGACACCTGCTCCCTGTTTCCCTGTGTGTGACTGGAGCTATGTGAAGTAATGTATTAGGATATTCTGAGATGGAGAGTAATCACAACGGAGTGGCAAAACTTGGACATCAATATGATGTTAAGCATTTCTATCTCAAGTTGTGTTTGTCTGTCTTGTCTATTTATATCTATATCTATATATCTATATATATATGTCTATATCTACCTACCTACCTGCCTATCTTACTTTATTTGCGTATTTATTTTTCCATGTATAGTACTGAGGAGAAAATAAAAGCGGCGTGGTGTAATGATGTAATCAATATGCAAATTAGCACGTGACATCATTGTTTTAGTTGAACATTTTTCACACCTTCTGACTTTGCAGGTTTGTTTAAAATGTATAGCAAATAAAAAAATGTACACAGTTAAATGATGATTAAAAACAGCTACAGTGTAAAGGTTAATTCAACTTTCATCTATTAATAAGATTAAATTTTATTGTGTCTAAATGTAATTTTATCTTTCAAGGTCAGTCTTTTATTTCACTACAATACTTCTTCATGTGCAGTTCATCAAATATTCCTCCTAAATACTTTATATTACGTTTTTCAGACAAATCCTGTCCTTTTTTGGACAATATGGTGGACATTTTTAGGACGCACAGTGAGTAGCGTCATGGGTATTTGTTATAAAATGTTGGTTGTCTAAGTTATTTTAAGGAAAAAGATTACTCGTTTAATCTGCAGGCAGAACTCAGGGCACAAAAAGCCCACAAAACCGTCTCAGCAGGCCAAGTCTGTGACATCACAGCTGATATTTGGTAGGGATGGATAATATATCGGCATCAATATCAGTATCGGCCGATAAATCATTTTTTAACATATCAGTATCGGTCCAATAAATAAAACCGGGCCGATATTAACAACCAATATTTTTTCCATCTTGTCTCCATTTGTTTGCCTGTTTCAGAGGGTGAGGGGGTGATGTGCATTTGTTT